GTTAGCACGTTGGATTTTCAGGCTGACGACCAGGGTTAAATCTCCAGAGTGTCTGAATTTCTTTTATCACTTTTTTAGCTTGAGTTCCTCTTTTTTCTCAGAATCGGACGGAAAACCTCTCATTGCTCGCAATGAGTTTCTAGTTATTATTATTATTATTATAGTAGACAAATGGACTGATGCAGTAGTATAGAAGTACAGAAAAATATTACACGCGCATGTCTGTATTTAGAATTGCTTGGAATAAAAAGTTGAATGCATAAGGATCAAAGGAAATTAATTCAGCAATAGTTTTCAATAGTTTTCATCAGAAGCAGATTATTTCTTCTGCTTACCGTTATTGTTAAAACTCTATTAACTAGTTCCGATGTAAATCTACTTGAAGAACATTTGGCAAAATAGCTTTTGTACTATAATTCTGCACTATGAAAAAAAAAATTATACTGCCTGACGCTCGTTACTTCAGATTATGAGCAGTAATGATGGCTGGTACATTGCGCTGGTGTAGTGGTTTCCATATTAAATTTACACATAGGCAATTCCAGTTATCCCGACTATGTCCGAATTTCTCCCCTCTTTTAGCTTAAATTTACGTTTTCATCCTGGTATTTTTCTAAATTATCCATGTCATTTTTTTTTAGGTGTAATAAAGAGCACATAAAAATTTAATTTTATGTGCAAAGAATATCACATAAGGACGGAAGATCTCTCGTTGCTCGCAACGAGTATCTAGTTGTTGCGGTTTACCGACCTTTCGCTTCGGAAGACCCTTCTGTTATTCTACTGTTTCTTTTTATTATTTTTTTTCCCAACAAATTTTTGTCAGCTGATTTCTCGGAGATTTTCTTGCCTGATTGTTATGAAACTTTCAGGATAGAAATTTTATCTTAAGGCCTAAAAACTTCTTTTTTCAATTTTTTGATTTACGCCTCCCTTTAGAAGTTATTGCCCTTTAATTGATATTTGGAGGGTCTTTTGTCAGGCTGAGATCTAGGTCCCAGGAACTACGTAAGTCAATTACATGAAAAATTTTAAGAGAATGTAGGTAACATACATCTGTATTGTATTTGTGTTAGATGTTAAAATTATTGGCTAAACTTTTCAAATCTGTATGTTATTTGAATTTTTTCATGAAATTTTGTTACCTTTTGTTTAATAACTTTTAAACTGAAAATATTTTGTGAAGACAAATCGAAGAAAAGGTGTGTAAAATAATGAAGGCTTTCAGATAAAATCAAGGAAAAAGGGACTGGTCCCTATATTTAAGGGTCAGTGGATCATAAACGTCTCTTTTCAAATAGGTTAAAATATTAATATTTTCGGAAAAGTTTTAATCTTACATATACTTACGTATATTCTCTAACATACTAAATCTTTTTGCTATGAAAAGAAAAGAAAATCGTGCTTTATTTAAAGTTATTTTCCAAATGAATGTCTTGAAACAAAACACAGGTTTTAGTTGTCTATACAGCTCAAAATAGATCACTATGTACAGGCCTTATCATTGTCTAAATGTATGTAAATGTTTTGTGTACTATATGACTGCTTTCTATTATGCAGTGCATGAAATGTTTATATATAACATTAAACACCTATTTAATTCATAAATTACAATATAGCAATGTGTGTAATACAGTGTTAGATGTGTGATTGCAAGAAAATTCTGACGGCGTATTTCCAGTGTTCGTTTAACGAGTAAAAAAACAGTTAAAAGTGGTATTTGAGTGTCCTCGTCATTGCTGTGGAGAATGAACGATATAAAAGAAGGTAATATTTTTGCATATCTAATTAAATTTAAATACTCAGAAATTGATAAATGCCTACACGCTCATGATGTTTTCATTGATCAGCTGATTTTTTTTCTGATCCAGACTCGAACTGTAGACCCATTTATGACATTATCACATCTTTACTGCAATAGCTTGTAAGGCTTATAAATACTTAATTATGTCTAATTCTACAAAAAAAAATAATAAAAATGATTCAGTTCAATTTGTAAAAGCTGATGCATGGTGCACCGTTCAGCTGCATTAATAAAAATAAAATAGTGTATGTTAATAACATAGAAAATCAAACTTAGTCTTCCCTGCAGACAGTGTGGTAATGTTAGTAACAAAGTTTGTAGGGACCGGGTACGGGATTGTACCTGGCTAGTATTTTTTATACATGTACACAATTTACTAACCAGGTACCATCCCTTACCTGATCACCAAAAAACTATATAATGAATTTACTCCTCCGATATCATTGTAAATATTCAAGTGGCTACGGTTTGCAGAATCATTTCCTCCTGCTTTATGCTTCTTCACTCTTGTAAAATACCTATTATGACGTCACGTTATGCTACATTATAGGGTTTTGTGAATCGCACAGGAAAAACGTACAAATTTTGAAGAATTTTATTAAAGGGAAAAAGGATTAAAAATTTGTGCTCGTTGCTGATGTTAACTTTTTTAATTGTAAACAGACAATATTATTTAAAAAGAATTAACTGGAACAGATACAAAAGAACGAACTCCGTATCGACCATGTATTGATTTTCAAGTGACGTTGTTTAAGTATTACACCGGCCCTCTTTGTATGACTGACGAGAACCAATTGTCAGCCAAGATTTAAAAAAAAAGATTAACATGAGAGATGGGGTAATGTAATTAATATTTATTTTGAACATAATGCAACAATATATCAAACTCAAATGAAAAAGCTTGTAAATTGGTTGATTGTTAGTTTTCCTCGGCTGTGTAGATTTCACAGTCATAGTTGTATATATATATATATATATATATATATATATATATATATATATACTGTAAATATAACTTTAATCGATAGTGTTGTCCGAGATGCCAGTAGATGGCTGCAAATGTAGGACTATATTCAGCACTGAAGGTCATTGCTCAGAGAGGGATCTTTATTGTGCTAGCATCTGCTGCAACTTACGACCTCGATTTATATCAATATACGGTTTTATTCTTAGGATCTATTTCCTTGCTACTTAGTGAATTCGAATCCATAAAGTAAGGATCAGCTCTTAAATATCTTGCAACTCTGGAAGAAAGTGTGAAAGTACTCTAACCTCTATGCCACTTTTAGATGAAGGAAAAAGTTAATATTGTAAACAAATCATAATTAGTATTTCTGAAACCAAAAATGCACAAATTAAAGAATTCATAGTTAGCTGCAGTTATTCTTTTTTCCTTACCGATTTTGTGCACGCGAGTTCTCGGAAATAGCTCAGTCGATTTTCACCAACCTTTCAGATCTAATAGATATTCATCTGAACATTGTCGGAAATTTTCGTTGTGGATGACATCACTTCCGATCGTGAGATATGGGCAACTTTCTGATTTCCAGAGAGTCGGCTTGTCCTGGGAACTCCTCCTAAACGACTTAAGATATTTTGTTAAGGATTTCAGTGAAGTTAGAGGGAAGTCCTTCGGAAGACCTTATTGTTTTCCGTCTGTTTTCTATTATTAAGATCTTCCGACTTCCTTCGGAAGACCTTATTGTTTTCCGTCTGTTTATTTTTATTATTAAGGTCTTCTGTTTCAGTCGGAAGACCTTATAGTGATTGTACTGTTTATTTTTATTATTAAGGTCTTCCGACTTCCTTCGGAAGACCTTATTGTTTTCCGTCTGTTTTCTATTATTAGGGTCTTCCGTCTTCAGCGGAAGACCCTTCTATTATTCTATTGTTTCTTTTTCACTTTTATTATTCTTTTTTTTTTCTTTACAAATTTTGTGCAGAAGATTTCTCGGAGATGGCTCGTTCAATTTCTTTCAAATTTTCAGGGTTGCTGGGTCTTTATCTGAAGTTAATTCCGGCAATTCCGTTTTTGATAAATCACTTCCGGTCGGAAGTTATCGCCCTTTTATCGAATTTTTATTGATCATTTTGTCTACACAAAAACTCAAAAACGACAAAAGCTACAGTGTTGAAATTTTCAGTGATAATAGAGGACATGTTCTAGTTGTGCACCTCAGTTTTCAAATTTTCTGGAAGTGCCTAGTATGGAAGCTCGGTAGGGACACAAATTTTAAAATTTTAAATTTAGGACACAAATCATGAGTGAATTTTTGAGACATTTTGTATCATATCTTTTAAAGTATAATTAATTTGTAAAAACATATTGAATAATATTTCTGCAGAATGACAAGATCTTTAATATGATATCAAGAAAACAGGGCTGACTTATCATATTAGGGGCCGAGAGGGGCCAAAAGTATTAAATCAATAACTCTTTAACGATCAATATTTTGGTATACATTACTGAAGCAAAAATGTTTATCTTAACAATTTACAACTATATATTATAATATTTATGTCATATGTTACATAATTAGGGGCCATACGGGGCCAGAATGCCAAATCATGGCACTCTATATCTCGAAAGTGGGAAATATTTTGATAAGCAATATTGAACAAAAGATGTCCAAAATAATGTTCTACACAAGATGCATCCTTTCATTTTTTGCTAAACATCCCCATTAAGGAGTTGAAGGACCGGCCCCTAAATACTTCTTTTGTAAATATCTCAAAAACGAAAAAGAATTTCTGACTAGTTGTTGAACAAAAAGTGCTCAAAATCATGAGAGCTTTAAAGTGATATGAAGAAAAAGGGGCTGGACCCTCAAAATAGGGGATGAGAGGGGCCGAAAGTCTTTGAACAATAACTCTTTAAGGATCAATATTTTGTAATGCATTATTGAAGCAAAAATGTTTATCTCAACAATTTACGACTATAATGATATTCACATCATATGTTACATAATTAGGGACCATAAGGGGCCAGGATTGGGTTGCTCAAAACTCTGGTTAAATTTAACCACTGGTTAAGCTAACCATTGGTCAAATTTATTTTCCATTGGCTACTTAACCACTGGTCAAATTTCTGTTGCTCAAAGGGCAATTAGTTCATAGGCTAACTATCCATTGGTTAGCATGACTTAACCAGTGGATAGTATCCCATAATGCAATATACTTTGTCCATCTGTCAACAATGGCTGCCAAAAAGAGAAGTGAAAATTTCTCTACTGATGATGTTTTGTTCATTATAAGTAAGGTTGAAGAGAATATAGATGTTATTCAGTCGAAACAAACTAATCAAATAACAAATGCCAAGAAGGCAGGTGTGTGGAAAAGCATCACAGATGCTGTTAATGCCCGGGGTGGTGTAAATAGGACCGTTGAACAGGTCAAAGAGAAATACCGTAAGGCCTGTTCAAAAGCAAAGGGGGATAACGTAACCCAGAAGATTCATCGGAGAAAGACTGGTGGAGGGCCACCTCATCCCCCTCTTGATGCCATTTCTCAAAAGATATTGGATCTTCACGAGGACTCCCCTAATTTCACAGGCTTTCAAGGTGGGATTGAGGTTGGCGGATTTAATGTAACAGGTAAGTAATTTTGACAAACCTTTATTTATTATTTTTCTGTGTCTTCATAAATCTCGGCACAACTCGGTCCTTCGTCTGCATGAACTGGCGAGGAAATTCGCATTTTACTATAATCTGGAACGACGGCGTTTACTTCCGTGAGAAATATTAGATGAATTCATTGAAAGTCGTACGGGATCAAGTTTTACGTTTTTTGCTAACGCCGCACACTGTCTATGCATTGTAACATATTCTATAAGAAGCTTTTATTCTTTCTGCATCCACCAAAACAAATACAAAGGTCATGGTCAAATTAACTATTTCGCTCCTATGATGATTCGGTCCGTACCACTTTGACATTACACCGTGCAAATGTCGGTGATTTTCCATGCCGATGTACGCACAATTATTTCTGGCAAATAAATTAAAGTAAAGTACAAATCAAGGACAGACTAGAACCACTTTTATTTAATTTTAGTCAGAATTTTATTGTCATACAATGTTTTCTACAAGTCAAATTAAATTTCATTTAATTTGAATTATAAGCTTTTACTATATCTTTCACAGACTTAAAATATATACATCCAACAAAAAAAATTTAATTACCCTGTAGGCAGTTTGTTTGAAGACAAATTGTAGACATTTTTTATAATATTTATATGTATGTACAATTTCAGAGAAATCAGTTCCTAAACCTGAAGATAGTGACTGTGTTAATGAAGGTCTTGGTAAGCAAATCATATATATTCTGAACATATATCTAATAATGTAATACACAACCAGTTAAATAAATTAAAAACTATTATTAATAGTTTTGGGTAGTTTAAAAATTATTTTATTGAATAAATTTAATTTGACTTTTGAGAAACATTAATACACTATACTTATCACTTTCTTTCACTTAAAAAAAACTGTAAAAAAAAATCCAGCTTTGAGACTGAAACTCAAACTGAAAAATTTCAATCTCCAGTTATAACTCTATCAAATGTATGTAAACTACTTTTTACAATAATTGTACATATAAATATTTAATATTTATTTGTTTTAATTTCAGAATCACAGATCTCATGCAATACAAGTTCATGCAACACCTATAATGGATGTGGGCTTGAGACCTTAGCATCTAATGGTATTGACACTTTTGTAAATATATATCTGATTTTATAGAAACATTGAATATAAACATCCAAAGGAATTTAAATCAAAGAAATTTAAAATCTGCTGGAGATATGGGAAATTTTATTGCAATGTAGATTAAAATGATTGTTACTTATACACAGGTGAGAGCCAACAAATCATTGAACTTCCTGAAAATTCTTCAGGTATGGATTTGATTAATAAAGTTTTATTGCTCATTGATAAATATGAAAACAGAATATGCTTGAAATGAATTTATATTGTTTGAATTTAAACAAAAAATATATACATTTATTATATGTTTATGTTTACATTATTGGTGTCAGCAATTAACAATATAAATTATCTTGTGGTTTAATTTATACAGGATCACCTGTTGCATTCAATGTAACAATATCCAATTCAGGGACAACTGTTAGAAAGTCTGATTGTTCAGGTACACTTTCATAAATGTTATCATTCACATTTAATTGACCATATCATATGGATGAATTATGAAAATTAAATTTATATTTCAATTATGCATGCTTTACAGTGACATATTTTCATTGAATAATTCAGCTGAAGAGAAAAGAAAGAGGAAACCTATTGAAACAGGCAGCTCAGAATTACAATTAAAGGTGTCAGATCTTCAAAGACGTGTTCTGCTTGAGGATTTAGAGAGAATTAAGGAACAGAGGGAATTGATTAAGCTCCAGAAGACAAAAGTGGATCTTGAAATCAAGAAGCTTAAAATGGACATTGCTAATCATGAACCTAGCAATATAAATGAACCCTAAATTTTTAGCACACATGAGCCAAAGTCAGTGCTTTTTCTAATCATACTTTGTTGTTGTCATCGTTGTCATTCTAAACTTTCCAATTTTTTACCCTATATTAAAAAAAATTCAGAATTATTAGAATTATAAAAAACAAATGAGGACCCTTGGGTTGGATGGGGTCACAGTGGGGAATCAAATATTTATGTAGGAATAAGAAAGGGGGGCTTTTAAAATCTTCTCATACGAATAGTGAACCATTAATGATTTTTATGTAAGCCCTCCTATGAAGAAGGGAGGGTATATTGTTTTTCTGCTGTCTGTCGGTTGGTCTGTCGGTCCACTTAGTTTCCGTTCCAAGTTTGTTTAAATCATTTTCTCCTGGGGTAGGATGAGACTACAATAGGGGATCAGTGTTAAATACAGAAGTATATAGGGGGGGGGGGTCTGCTGATAAACTAAGAATAAGGTCAGAGTGTCTTTGGTGAGCTTTGTGGTCCATAGGCATCTTGTTCTTGATTTATATTTTTAAAAATGAAATTTCTCTGTGTTGTATTTCTTAGTTTGAAAAACTGTTGACATTTCTAAATATTCAGTTTTTAGCTGCATTAATAAAATTTCATCAAATTTTGAGAACACTCAGTTGAAATAATGCTCTGTGATAAATCTCCTGACATTATCATTGATGGGACCCTGCACTGCTCCGTCATTTCCCCCATTGTCTCCTGGGCCATTAATATCATCTTCCATTGGCTCATGTCTCTGAAGAGCTATATTGTGCAGTACAGCACAAGCCACCGCTATCTTTGCAACCCGCCCTGGTTCACACTAACACAAAAAAACATATTTGTAAAAATATGTTTAAGTAAATGCAAACTGTAACTAAATGTCAATGAATATTAAAATTTAATAGAATGGTCCTATAAATACTGAAGTATGTATTAGTGTACTCGGTACTTTCAGGCACTTAGAATGAGGAGGCAGGGGAGGGGATACTAGTACCATACCGTACCACTACACTTAAACTAGCTAGTCAAAACTTTTAGAACATGAGAGTAGGATACCCCTATGTCTTAACACCCCCCCTCCCAAAAATAAAAACTATTAAAAAATTAAACAGAATATTTTCTTAAAATTACTTTGTACTATCTAATTATTTGGAGATGTGTTATCTTAAGGTATGTATAGAGTAAGTTATTATTATTCAGGTAAGGTAGCATGTAGAATTTATTGAAGAATCAAAATTTTAAAAAAGTGAAAGAAAAAATTGTGAAAACATTAAAATTAAAACTCAATACCTGAAATAATTATCATCTTTTTAGTCAGGAGAATGTGTAAAATGTACTATATTGGAAAGGTTCATAGCAAGATCAGTGATTTTTTTGTTTGTTTGTTTCATTTGTAAGATGCTTACTTTATTTTCTTCATGAAGCACTATAAAACGCCTCTTCCACCAACCAAAACACCTTTCCACGACACCCCTAGTTTTTGCATGAGCATCATTGTACTTTATTTGTGCTCTAAGTGTAGAATTTTAAAAGAATATACACAGCATTACAAATAATGCATTAAACTTGGAATTAAAGTAACTTCGTCTGCTTACTATTATTCATGAAACTTAAAAAATGAATAGAATATAGCCCAATTTAGTGTTCCATTATATCGCTGTTTTTCTAAATTTTTCCAGTGCTCACAGTTTTCTAAATGAAAAGTAATTTAGTTATTCATGAATTTTATTTCATTGACATCAGTAATGGTACATGCATATACCTTGTACTAGGCCGCAGGTATGGCGTAAGTAAGTACCTACTGCAGGCATACCCACTATCTCCCAAAAGAACCCCGTCCACATCAATACCCCGATGGTTTCCTTCTAAATGAATGCCGATGTCCGAACTCCGGAAAATAAAAGAGTCGTGGTTCGAACCTGGCCACTTTGCAGAAACATTCAAAAATTTCCCTATAATAAACCAGCAATGTGACTTTCAAAAATGTGTTTGAAATATCATAATTATATTTGCATGAGACGTGGGAGGGTAAATAGTGATAGGGATTTATGTCTGTTTGTCTGTCCACTTCCGTCCATATCCTGTACATCCGTCCGTCTGTCTGTACCTCCGTTATGCTTTGTGGTTCCCATTTCATATCTGCAAGTCCTCCTCTACCACTGAATGAAATCTAATGAAACTTTCACAGAGTCTTTGTTATAAAGTGCATTTGAGAGGCTTATTGTACATTTTTATTTGACAATTATTTGGGGTCCCCAAGAGCAAAACATGGACTTTCGCCATATATATTTATAGGGGGGGGGGTATCATTCAGTGAGTTTACTGCTCGCGGTACCACTAGTTAGATATATTAACTACATGTATGTTACATGTAACTTATTATATTTGTAGTAGTAAAAGGATTTATTGATTCGCAGTCTATCACTTTACCTTTGAATATTTAACTCGTATGGAAATATTACCATTTTCAAACTTTCACCCTACACATGTACTTCCAGGCATTTGGCCATTATTGAATTGAAGAAGAGGGGGTTTTCTAATGAGGAAAATGTATCGTTGGTAAAATATCACAGCTCTAAGATTACCTGTATGGTCACATATTCCCTGGACATTTATGGAGTGAAACCCCTTTCTATTAACATAGGTATGTTCATATTCTCTCGGGGACTGGATTCGAATATGAGTCCCATCTACAGCCCCGATAACTCCAGGGAATGAGGCAATGGAGTAAAATCCCTGCTTAATGGTCATCTTCTCTGCTGGATCTGTGGGCCATTTGATATATTGTGGAGCAATGTCACACAGTGCGGCTGACACATCCCTAACACTCCTGGACACGCTAGAAACATGGAAACCCATGGTATCCCCAATTGTTGTCATTTTGTCCCCAGTCGCATAATATCTCAGTGCCATTAAAACTTGTTCATGTGCAGTCATTGCATAAGAACGCAGTGTTGGGCGGCACAGATACGGCTCCAGCATATATGTAATTTCTGCTACTGTTTCTCTAGAAAATCTGTACCTAGATGAAAATTCCCCCTCTTCAAAATTGTGATGGAAATGTCTATATACCCTTTCTTTTCTTTGTCGTCTGCCAAAGTTGGAATCGAAGACTAACCTTGCAGCCATAACTAACCACTGGTTAACAGTTAGCACAGCTCCCTTAGGTGTGCTAAAGTTAACCAGTGGTTAGATGAAATTAACCTTTGGACAAGTAACTTTAACCAGTGGACAAATTTTGAGCAATGGAATTTAACCAATGGTTAGAAATTAACCGCTGGATAAGAGATTTAACCAGTGGTTAAACTTAACCAGAGTTTTGAGCAACTCAATCCAGAATGCTAAATCTCTGACGGTTTATATCTCGAAAGTGGGAAATATTTTGATAAGCAATATTGAACAAAAGATGTTCAAAATAATGTTCTAAACCATATGCAACCTTTCATATTCTGCTAAACGTCCCCATTAAGGAGTTGAAGGGCCGGCCCCTAAATATATCCTTCGGATATATCTCGGAAACGAAAAAGAATTTTTGAACAATTCTTGAACAAAAAGTGTTCAAAATCATGAGAGCTTTAAGGTGATATCAAGGAAAAGGGTCTGACCCATTAAATAAGGGGCTGAGAGGGGCCGAAAGTATACAATCAATAACTCTTTATTGATCAATATTTTGTAACATATTACTGAAGCGAAATAGTGTATCTTCACACACTTTATCTAAATAACATGATGTTGATATCATATATTACGCAGTAAGGGGTCTTTAGGGGGCCAGATTGCATAATCTATGGCGCAATATATCTCGAAAAGGAAGAATATTTTGATAAAGAGTTTTGAACAAAAGACGATCAAAATAATATTCTGAACAATATGCACTCTTTCAATTTTTGCTAGACGTCCCCATTTAGGACTTGAAGGGCCGGCCTTTAATATTTCTTTTGCATATATCCCGAACACAAAAAAGAATTTCTGACTAGTTGTTGAACAAAAAGTGTTCAAAATCATGAGAGCTTTAAAATGATATCAAGAAAAAGGGGCTGACCTCTCACATTAAGAAGGAGGGGTGAAAGTCTTTAATCTATATTCCTTTAATGATCAATATTTTGTAAAACATTATTAAAGCAAAATTGCTCGTCTTAACAATTTATTTATATCATTATATTTGAACGAAAATCTCAGTCAAATTCTTATCTCATCTTATCAAAAATCAGACGGAAGACCCACTCGTTGCTCGCAAAGAGATCTCATCTAGTTATTATTATTATTCTTTTTTCATAGTACGGCCGATATCTCAGCTGTGAGTGGACGGATTTCAAAGATTTTTTCAGGGAAGATGCATCGTGAGAATATCTCCAGACGTGTTTTTCATTTTTTGAAAAATCACTTCCGTTCGCAAGTTTTGGGGAAATTTGTTTTTTTTTAATGAAATTTTGTCCGTTAATTTTCTCGAGAACGGCTAAAGATATGAAATTGAAGCTCACTGACGTGATAGAGCATCAAATGGAGATATGGTGATCGACCTTTATTTTTCGTCGTTTGGACTTCCGGTCGCGAACGGAAGTGAAATCAAAAATGTTAAATTTGCAACTTTTTTTGTTTTTCAATATTTTTCTTTGATATTTACAGGGTTAATAGAAAGTCTTCCAAGAATTCTATGTATGGTTTCATCATTTTGATTGATGCATTTATTGCAAAAATATGACCGATCCAAACTTTCTCGTATGTTGCGGGTTCGAATCCTGCTGGGGCGGGAGATTGTTTCTCTCTTTTTTCAGTTATAAATAATATTTTTCTCCGTGAAGACATGTATGATAGTTTTTGCTTATTTTTTAAAGCTTTGTTAGCGGAGATTCTAAAGAAATCCTTTAATAATCATGATCTATGTTGAAAGACTGTGTTACATAAACGCAAACGAAAAATACCTTCAATAAAGTATTAAATAAAGTGAGATAGCATAGCGTTCTGGAGAAAAGTTCGGTCGGAAGACCACTTGTTGCCCTAGCAACAAGAAAC